ATGATTATGAAGCTTGTTTACTCTCCAGAATACCTTACAGATATACATCCATGGCAACATGCCTATATTGCTAGACAGATAGGTAGATATATATAGATAATTGATTTTAAAATTAACCTCTGGAAACCATAAGTAATGAATTGTGGAAAGAGTTAATTGCTGCTAATTGACTGGAATCTTGATATTTTAACGTGAGATTCAAATTTATCTAAGAGTATTTTATCTGTTCATTTTATTTCACTGTGCTCTTCATCATGCCGTTAGCCAATGCCATGTTTCTTAAAAATGTGTATGACAGACCAATCATATACTCTGGTCCTGCTTTGAGTAGCATTTTTATAGTAGACATGTTTACCCTTAAAATGCTAAGAATTGCATGCGTCATTATATCAGTATTTAAAACATTTTAAGAATACATTATTTAAATTGTATTACTTATTTGGAATAAATGAGATAAAATAGCTTGTGGGGCATTATACTAATTGAAAGATTTCTATTAGTCTTCACTACTTAATTTTAGAAAAATAAAGAAATAATTAACATTAAAGGACTATAAAATTCAAGCAATCAGTGCAGATATTTTTCTGCAGTGTTATTTGGAAATTTGATGAAAGGCAATCTCCAATGTCTCTTAATGTCTTTAAGATGTTATGATCTTCAGTTCACCACGTTTTGCCTTGCAAAATGGCACTTGCAATTTTTTAAATGATGCTTTAGTTTTTAAATGATGCAATTTCTTTTCTTTTCTTTTTCTTTTTTTTTTTTTTTGAGACGGAGTCTCGCTCTGTCGCCCAGGCTGGAGTGCAGTGGCCAGATCTCAGCTCACTGCAAGCTCCGCCTCCCAGGTTTACACCATTCTCCTGCCTCAGCCTCCCGAGTAGCCGGGACTACAGGCGACCGCCACCGCGCCCGGCTGGTTTTTTGTATGTTTTAGTAGAGACGGGGTTTCACCATGTTAGCCAGGATGGTCTCAATCTCCTGACCTCGTGATCCGCCCGTCTTGGCCTCCCAAAGTGCAGAGATTACAGGCTTGAGCCACCGCGCCCGGCCTAAATGATGCAATTTCTAAAAGTCGCGCTTCCTGCATGAAAACTTCCCAGATCTTAAGTATTTATTTAATTAAACTTAGAACATGAGAATAATAAATGCAAAATATTCGTTTTTAAGTGCTTGAGGTGTATTACTTCATTTAGTGTTAAAAACCAAGTGAAGTATCCAGGGCAATTATTATTCTGAGAAGTCAGCCAACCAGCCTAGGGTAACAATGCTTTAAAGGAAGCTCCAGATGTAGAATTGAAGTTTTTGTTTGTTTGTTTGTTTGTTTTGTTTTTTCCTAGCTGCTATAGACATGAGGTAGATGATTGATTGTTTTCCAAGGAAGCAAAATAATTTATATCACAGTGAAAATAGTACCCCCCCCACCTCCACCCTCCAAATATGAGTCAATGCAACTCCAACAGTGGCTTGGCCTTGAATTAGTATGGCTGCAGGGAGCCAAGGAAAGCGGGTTTAAGACAATAACTTTTCATGTTGAACTGTTTGAGTTCCTTATACATTCTGGATATTAGTCCATTGTCAGATGCATAGTGTGTAAACATTTTCTCCCATTCTGTAGGTTGTCTCTTTATTGATTATTTATTTTGCTGTCTAGAAGTTTTTGGTTTAATTAAGTCTGATTTGTTTATTTTTTGTTTTGTTGCATTTGCTTTTGAGGTCTTAATAATAAATTCTTTACATAGGCCAATGTCTTGAAGAGATTTTCCTAGGTTTTCTTCTAGGATTTTTATAGTTTCAGGTCTTAGATATAAGTCTTTTAATTCATCTCGAGTTAATTTTTGTATACAGTGAGAGATAGGGTCCAGAAAAACAAATAATCGAATTAAAAAGTGAGCAAAGAACATGAGCAGACATTTCTCAGAGGAAAATATACAAGTGGCCAACAAATGCAAAAAAAGTTCAACATCACCAATTATTAGAGAAATGCAAATTAAAACAACAATAAGATACCGTCTCACACACATGGACACAGGGAAATGAACATCACACACCAGGGCCTATCAGGGAGTGGGGACAAAGTGGAGGGACAGCATTGGGACAACTACCTAATGCACGTGGGGCTTAAAACCTAGATGACGGGTTGATGGGTGCAGCAAACCACCATGGCACATGTATACTTATGTAACAAACCTGGATGTTCAGCACATGTATCCCAGAACTTAAAGTAAAATAAAAAAGAAAAGAAAAAAGAAAGATACTGTCTCACACCAGTAAGAAAGGCTATTACTAAAAAGTCGAAAAACAGATGTTAGTGCAGTTTTGGAGAAAAGGGAATGCTTATACGCTGCTGGTGGGAATGTAAATTAGTACAACCTCTATGGAAAATAATATAGATATTTCTCAAAGAACTAAAACCAGAATTACTAATGGACCCAGCAATATCCACCACTAGGTATCTACCCAAAAGAAAAAAAATGTTACACCTGCATTTGTATGTTTATTGCAGCACTATTCACATTAGCAAAGACATGGAATGAACCCAGGTGTCCATCAATGGTGAATTTGATTAAGAAAATGTGGCATATATATAGCATGGAATACTATGCAGTCATAAAAAAGAATGAAATCATATCTTTCAGAGAAACATAGACGGAGCTGAAGGCCATTATCCTGAATGAAATAACCCAGAAACAGAAAATCAAATGCCATATGTTCTCACTTATAAGTGGGAACTAAACAATGGGTACATATAGACATACAGAGGAAAACAATAGGTAACGGGGACTCCAAAAGAGGGGAAGGTGAGAGGGGCAGTGAGGGTTGAAAAATTACCTGTTGGGCATTATGTTCATTATTCAGGTGACGCATATACTAGAAGCCCAAACCTCACCACTACGTAATATATTCATGTAGCAAATCTGCATATGTAGCCTCTGAATCTATGAGAAATTTTTAAAAGTATGCATATTTTAAAAAAGTAACTTTTTCCACATAAAATATTACATAAATACTCACTACCTACACAGTCTGCATAACTATAGGTATAAACAGCTGAAATTTGTCAGGTACAAATGAAGGAAAGGACAATTGAGCCAAAGGGAATAATGTGTGAGAAAGGCAAGAATAAAGTGTGTTACAGGAAGAGTAAAGGATGCTCTGTAGCTAAGCAGAAGATGGGCAAATTTGGGAAGAAAGGCTGGAATAAGGCTGAAAAGTAAATAGGCTACGAGGCTTCTGAAAACTCCTGAATGCCATTTGGAAAAGTTTGAATTTCACTTTAAAAAACTTGTTATTCAAATAATATGCCAAAGGAGTTTTAAGCTTTGTCAGAATTATATGATTTTTATTGTTTAGATTCTATTCGTTTCCATTAATTATGTTAGATGAATGCATTTTGTGCATAACTGGTCACGTATGGTTGAAAATGTTTACTTTGACTCCCACTATGGGAAGAGTAAACTGGTGATTAGATTATGCAGCTCAAACAGCTGAAGAAAACGGTGAATGCTGTATTAATTTTTATACTACATGAGCAGGACGTGTCCTTCATTTAAGTGATGTCTGCAAGTTAGCACCTATGCTTTATGACATGCAAAGAAGGCACTGTTTATGGCCAACAAGGAACAAGGATTATTTAGGGTAGCTGGTTGCCCAGAGAGAAATTAGATGAAATGAACAAGGCCAGAGAAGGGCACTAACTTTGCTGAGTGCTAACTACATCGGCCTACTCAGTTGCCTTACATTTAGCATCTCATTTAAGCCTCACAAGAACCCTGCAAGGTGTGTTATTTTCTCCATTTCAAAGATGAAGTGACTGGGGTCAAAGAAAAATTTAAGCAAATGGCCACCTAAATGCTTCTGAAATGTTAAAGCAAAATTTCACTTTTTAGTTCTATAAGCTAATGTCATCAAGTTATTGAAAACTAAACTTGAGCATTTAAATTTGATCCTAAAAAAATCATAAAGTTTAAGGAACTTTCTTCCATTTAAGATGTTATTACTATATTCTAAGAGAAGAATTTGTTTTTGAAAGAAAATAGTTTGCATTTGCTGACCCTGATGATGAAATCTTGCTGCTCAGATTTGGGAGGTCTTCGTCTTTGGATTCATGCTCCTATTCTCAAAGTGACTACCTTAGGTTGATACATTCCAGTGAGGGAGACCAGCTGGGACAAGGCCCAGGCTGCTCTCCTACAAATTTGCCATGAACAGGAGCCAAAATCTAAGACCTGATTCAAGTGGCCCAGCTGTCACTGGTGACACACTCAGGGGCTGGGCCTATCATGTTCCTATACAACCTAAGTGAGTCAATATTTCCACAATATTGGAAAATAACATTGTCAGGGAGGAAGGTAAAAGTTATGTTATTTGTGACAGTTCAGTAGATTAATCAACAATTTTAATTTTTATCAGCCATTTGCACCTTCCTATGCCAGAACTTGTTTTATAAAAATGAAAATGTAATAGAAAGTGCGTGCCTCTGTAATATGTAAAATATCTAGACAAAATTTTGCAATTACTTTGTGGGCAATTTCTCACTTTTTTTTTTTTTGGTGGTACAATAGAAATGCCAAATGGTAACTTGCAGAAGGTTTGAATTAGTTATATTACCTGATATCTTGCAAAACAAAATGCCAAGTCGTGAGTAAAATATAGTTAAATTTTATATCCTCAGATCTTTTAAGTTTATAATGTTAACGTACAATCCTAGATGAAACTTCTATATTGGACACTATTTCCCCACCAATAACTTTTGTTTACTTAAATATTTTCCTCTCTCTCTCTTTCTTTCTCTATATGTGTACAGTCATTTCCTACAAATTGCCCAATATATCAACTTTTCAACAATGGCACTGTGAGAAATGCTGCCAATATGCTAGGAGATCATTTGTAATTAATCATCACTCACTCTTTTTTTTTTCTGGCATTGTTTATCTCAGTGTATACCTAACAGTTTTCTTTTTCAAGTGAACTCCGGACATCTCAAAGTCTTGAACACACAGTTTAGAATTATCTGTTTATTGACAGAGAATTTTGAAATGTATAGGCAAACATGCTGAAGTAAATCAGCTAAGATGCAGATAGTAAATTTGCCGATGAGGTTTTTGAAAAATGTATTTGCAGAAAAATTTAGATGAAGTTTCTGAAAAACTTATTATGGCCTAGAATTACATGATTTAATATAAATTGTCTTGAAATTCCAATTTCTATTAACCTCTTATGAAAAAGTATAATGAAATACAAATCATCATTTTAAAGGCCACACATCTAAAGCTATTAAATATTTCACTTTGCAAAGTTTACCTAGCATTTATTTGAAATTATGTGCTATTGTGCACTTTTAAAATTAATCATAAATAGCACTTATTTTTTTAAAAAAGTATCCTTCTATGCATAAATAATAACAACATGATGAATTTCTAGATCGTTCTTGGTATAAATGTTATTGTCTTCTGTGTATGACTACTATATCAAATAACATGAAATTTAATTGCCAATCTTCTAACCACTCATACCAGAAAAAGAATATTGTAATGATTGAGTGGATTGATTTACTCATACAAATAATTATACATTTTATAAGAACTATAAAACATCTCCATTAACCACTGCAGTCTTTCTGATCAAACAGTGACAGATAGGAGCTCAGAGTTTAAGGGCATTTGTTTACTATGTTTGCTTGGATTTTCCGAACTGCCTTAGTTCCTGATTCCACACTGCTATTGTGTGGATCAAATAATCCCTTGTCACAAAAATACCCTGGGGAGTGACTCCCCTGGCGTCCAGGTTATGAGTGTGGTCAGTCATTCCACATGCCTTAGGGATGAGCTATCTTTGCCATGACGAGCGATTTCCTTTTCGAGTTTTGTAATCCCCGAATACTAAATACTATTATCAATAAAAGTTAATTAAGGAAATGTATATTAAAATATTGTTCAAGATAGCACTGAAATTAGCTTTATCTTTCCTCATTGTCTTAAAAAAAATTATTACTGAATTAAAACAGGAGAAATTTTACAATATACTCTTAAAATTGTAAATATCTACTACTGACTTCTTTGATATGAACCATAACCAGATATTGAAAAATATACTTTTGTCATGTACACACTAGATATGCCGCTTTTATTCTCCTTTGCATGGTTCAATGTATCAGAAAACAACTTAGGAGGGGGAGAAAAAAATTAAAAGCCATTCTGTAAATCTTTCCCTCTTCCTTTTCTTGCAATCTCTCATTATATCTTGGAGAGCGAGGTCACAGGTTTTAAGAAATATGACTCATTTTATGTTAGTAGCCTTCCAATACTTCAGAATATTCTTGATTTTTCATGGACAGAGGTACAGCGCAGGGAGTGTGGCTAAATCAGTGCCAGTCTCCAGCTCCGCGTGAACCTAGGATCCAGACATCTCCTGGATGCCGGGCGCTCTCTGAGATCCAGCCCTTGGCTTCCTGCAAACCAAAAGGATCCGCTAGGTTGGGAAATGCTGCCTGGTGCGATTCCAGAAAGGGCCATCTCTTTAAGGATAACGGACTTGGAGGACCTCTTCACCATCCCACCCCGCTCCGGACTCTTTCTTCCCATCCTTTGCTCCCAGGATTTTACATGTTGCCTGCAAAGGGAGTCAAACTTAGGGGGCAGGCAAACAAACGAGTTCTTTCCAGCCTCCGTAACCGGATCGCTAGAACGAAATAAACGCAAAAGTGTCCAGAGTCGCAGCCAGACCGCCAGCCTGCGCTTGAAGCAACTTGTAAGTGAGGCTGCAAGAGCCGCCGGGATGTAGATTTTAGTTCGTGGCCAAGCACAGCTACGACACCCTGTCCCTGCCTCCACCCCATCCCCAAGAATGCATGGAAGAGGGAGAGAGGACGAGGTGAGGGCCGCCTGCATTTCTGCACGTCGGCGCCAGTTAGAAAGCCCTGCAGTTTTGCGAGACAACAGGAGGAGATGGAGGGGCCAGGAGCCACGACTCCCGGGAGAGCGCAGGGAGGGGCGTAGGTGCCCCTTCGCCCACCTCCGCCCCCCTCACCTCGACAGCTGTCCCGCTCTTGGAATTCATTGGCTTCCCCCACCCGGCCTCCCAAATACCACCCCAATCTAGTTTAGCCCCCTGCCCCACCCTCGCTGACCTAATAAGGCCATGCAGTGTGCGGGGGGGAGCTACATAAAAACGCGGGCTCTCGGAGACTCTGCACCACGCAGGGGAAGAGAAGGCAGGAGCAGTCCAGCGCGGAGGAAGGCGACCATGGCCAAGGAGTGGGGCTACGCCAGTCACAACGGTGAGTGCAGGCAGCGGCGACCTGGCCAGGAGGAGATGCCGGTCCTGGAGAGCCCTGCCATTGCACAGAAATGGGCAACTTTAGAGAGTGCAGTGGAAAATGTAGGAGTAGGATAAGACCTAACATTTGCTGAGGTTTTTCAACTGCCAAATGCTGCTCCTTCTTTTTCCCTTCATCTCATTTAGTTCTCCCTAGTATGGAGTTTTTATTTCTCTTGGAGGCAACTGAAGTGCAGAGAAGTTGGATCACTTGCCTAAGATCCCGTTGCCTCTGAGAAGTCAGACAGCCCGAGGTCAGGTGTGACTGGCCCTTATTCTGTTAGACTGGACAAGCACCTAACCTGAGCTTGGTGCTGGTGTGAGAATCTCTGCTCTGCCTAAGGTTCTCCCTAATCCAAGGAAAAGGAATACGGGTGTGCTCTGAAAACTGCAACATAATGCTCAAATGTAGGTGGTCAATATTATTGTATTCCAACTGTATGATGGAAGGTGGCATTGGTTTAAAAAAATTTGATAAAGTTTATCTCAAAAATAAGCCTTTGAGCAAGCAGAGTGAACACACCGAGTTAAATAGTCTCCATGTATGCTATTCACAAAACTACCAACAGGCCTGAAATGAACGGTAAGTCTCTTATTGCCCAGTCTGAAACCTAAGACCTTTTTGAAATCACTGTCTAGCCTCTCTGCATTTTGCTGGTTTAGTCAATTAGAAAGAGGCCTTGGGTTGTGCCACCAAATAAATACATCCCCTCGACTTTATTTCCTAGGTCCTGACCACTGGCATGAACTTTTTCCAAATGCCAAGGGGGAAAACCAGTCGCCCATTGAGCTGCATACTAAAGACATCAAGCATGACCCTTCTCTGCAGCCATGGTCAGTGTCTTATGATGGTGGCTCTGCCAAGACCATCCTGAATAACGGGAAGACCTGCCGAGTTGTATTTGATGATACTTACGATAGGTCAAGTAAGTATGACAGTGAGGTAGAATCACATGGATGTTTTCAATGTCCATATTGACAAAATGTGGGTTATGACACAGTACCAGAATTAGTGAGGAGAGGGAGCCCTTTACCTCTGAAAATGGAGATGACATTTGACTTTGCTTTAGTTATGAATAATTATATTTATGCATTGAAGAGAAATGTCTCACCCTCCAAACTTGGTCTCTGTGAAAACGGCCCCATGTCCAAGCTAAAAGTTGGCAATGCATTCCTGAAATGGAACATGATAGGACAGAGATGACAATAAGCTCAAATGAGTATTCTTCAGACTCTGATGGCCTGTACCTGAAGGATTTTTATGCTTCTTGTCCATGGTCTGGAGAGCCAGGCTTCCACTCTCGATTGCGTAGATTCCATTCTACAAAGTCAGAAATATAATAGAAACCCTAAATAGGCACTTTCTTCCCCTGGTGCCTGGGAGGTGACCAATCTAGGGGAGAGAATGGGGCCATTGAAGGTGCGAAGATGACTTACCTTCAAGCCTTCAGTGGGGTTCATCTGATTAATCATTTTGGTGAGTATTTTTGAAATATCTGACAATTTCTTCTTGAGTAGTATTTGTGTGTGAGACAGCAACTGAAAAATACATGTTTAGAAAAAACAAATCTCTTTATTTCACTTACACTAGTAAGCAAATCAGTAAAATAAAAGAATGCTAGTCAAAAATACACTATTTCACAATAAATGAGGTAAGAAATAATCTTCCTTTAATATTTTGGTGCTTGATATACAGCAAAATAATTCCTTATAGCCACATTTCTAATAAAGTTACATTTATTGATATACATAAGTGAACATTCTTAATGATGTTGTAATGAAGAATGATATTCATAATTCCTACCTACTAGGAGATTCCAAGTTATAGAAATTTAAATTTTCTTAAACAGTGATTTTGTATTGCTATTGTTTTCTTTTTTCCCCTTCTCCTTATATATCAAGTACCATTTTGAAAGCACCATAACAAAATTAAACATGTCTATTAGATTGAACCACATGAAAATGCCATTTTTGTGAGCAAAAATAGTTGAATATTGCCAATTTCATACAGTTTATTCTAATAAATTGGACTCACATGTCCCTATAATAACTGTTCTGAGTGGCTGGACAGGAAAAATGCAATGAATTGAACCACTCCATTTCTACATGAAAAAACTCATATAGGCCTAGCCTCATTGTTTGAGGTCTACATTTATGGCTTTCCTGGGCCACTTAGTGTGGCCAACCTCTTCTAAAATAGCTGTGCTCTGAATTCTATTTTGATCTAGCTTATATTGCCAAATCTTGATCTTACGGTTTCTGCATAGTTTTCAATATACTTTGGAAGATATCTGAACCTCTGAATCACTCTGCAATGGGTTGAGATGTTTATCCACAAGCCCAAATTAATGCTGCTGAGAATTATCTAGTTTAGTCATATAAATTGATTGGTTTTCTGGGAAATTTCTGAATTTTCCATTTCATCTCATTTGAACAGACACGGTCTAAATTAGGCATAGATGAAAGTTCTTGCTTGCTGTCTTAAAGAAAAGTGTAGTTGGAAGCAACATGGGGAGAAGGAATTCACATTTGCTCAGTGATCATCGTGCAGGCACTATGATGAGCACTTTAAGGTGCTTAATCTCAGTTAATCTTCACAGCAGCTCTGAAAGTTTGGTATTATTATCACCTTCTTAGAAATGTGAAAGTGGGTTCAGAGAAGTTTAGCAACTTGTCTAAGATCACAGAACTAGCAAGGGGTGAAGCCAGCATTGGAAACCTACATCCACCTGGTTCTCAACTGTCCAATTCTTCCCACTGCACCACACTACCGACCTGTTCTCTGGGTGTATGCCTCCTCATTGTCCATCTGTTGTTTTAATTTTACTTTCCTAAATGTTAAAATGATGTTTCAATAATAATGAAACAAACAAACAAAATAAGAAAAACAGAAAAGAGCAATCATTTATCTTGACATATCCCAAGACTTCATTTTATGAGGAGTCTGGTGTCCTGGGAGTGGCACCATCTACCCAGCACACTGACCACATTTTGTCCATTAAGCTCTGTAAAAGAAGCATGAATTCACTGTTGACCAAGCTTATCTGAATCACAGTGCTGAGAGGGGGTCCTCTCCCTGGACCCTACCGACTTCGCCAGTTTCATCTTCACTGGGGCTCTTCGGATGATCATGGCTCTGAGCACACCGTGGATGGAGTCAAGTATGCAGCAGAGGTAGGAGGAACTGCCATAATCCATTCTGAGTCTCATACAGTGAAAATTGCAAAATTAAAAATAAGAACCACAGCAACAAAGCATCATCCACTGCTTTTGTTTCAAGTCTATAGTTATGAAAATAGCTGTACTAGTTTTAGCTAAACTGAAGCTGCCAGACATTCTAGGCTAGACAGGTAAAGGGGTATAGGTGAGTTGGCATCAAACATGAAGATTTCCAAGGTTACATTAAGAAACTGGGGCGAGTGCAGTGGTTCACACCTGTAATCTCAACACTTTGGGAGGCTGAGGCAGGTGGATTGCTTGAGCCCAGGAGTTCGAGAGCAGCCTGGGCAATATGGTGAAACCCTGTCTCTACAAAAAACACAAAAATTAGCCTGGCATGATGGCATGCACCTGTGGTCCCAGCTACTCAGGAGACTGAGGTGGGAAGATCACTTGAGCCTGGGAGGTTGAGGCTGCAGTAAGCCATGATTGTGCCACTTTGCTCCAGCCTGAGCAACAGAGTAAGACCCTGTCTCGAAAAAAACCCCAAAAAGTTAGAAATTGGATAGCTACTTAATAAGAAAGCCTAGGGTCCTCAATGAAACTGGAAAAAGGATAGCTAATACTTATTAAATGCTTACATGTATTAACTCATTAGATCCTCTTAGCTACCTTAAGAGACAGGTTACAAATGAGGAAACAGAGGCATAGAAAAGACACATAATAAAGTCACATGGCTGGTGAATGCTAGTGCTCTACCTGATACAGACTGGCTTCAGAGTTCATCGTCTTATCCAGTGCCCTATGCTGCCTGTTTTATAAGAATATAGTACTCCAAAAATAGCATTTAGAAATTCTGAATAATGCTTATGTTCCAATCTCTTAATGAACCGTGTGCATATATATATGTGTGTGTGTGAATATCTATATATACACACGCACACATATTTACACACACATAGAGATATGTGTACACACATACAATTTAATCTGAGCATATACTACTCTCTGTCTCAGTTAACCCATTAAAGAAAAGAATGAATCGTAACTCAGATCAACGCATCAAATTACAAGGGCTTAAGACAGGCCTCTGACAGGTTTTCTTTATAAAGCCAAGCCAATAAGTGGTGGCAGTTGCCTTGGAGGTGAGGACCAATTCATTTTTCCTGCCTTTCTCTTTTCCAAAGATAGGCTCTGGTTAACATAGGGGCTGTGACAGAAGCCCAGAAATACACTATGAACATGTTTTTAAGCAGAATCATTAGGCAACTTAGTTCTTGGTTAAATTAATTGCTAGAAAACCCAAAGTACTTCACTGTGATCTTTCTGTTTCTTTACAGCCAATCTAGAAAGCCATGGCAAGATAAATTAAATATTGAGAATGCCTTCTAGACATCTTCCCCAACCAAATGGGGAAAGTTGAGTATATTTCTTACAGATGCAGTCAATATTTTCAGTTTGACTTTTGCATATGGGATTATTTCATACTTTTGGTCTTGTATAAAACATTTTTTAACTGCTGCAAGTGATTGTATTCTCTTGCCATTCTCTGTAACTCAGCATAGAAAGTTTGATTAACCTAACTGGTACCCATGTTCTAAATTAAGATCAGGTTGCCACCAGGTGTCAGAGCTCTGGTTGATAAAAGGAGATAAATAATTTTATATGCCTTTTATTTGAGCCACTAGAAGTGTTACCAAAATACTACATGCTACTCTTTCAAATTTTCTCAGCTTTTATGAGAGTGCTCAGCAACCTTAGCCTGTACAACGGTTGGATTTACTGTGGATAATGTTATACTTACTTCCATATTCCAGGAATTTACCTTCTAATCTGTCTTCTATGGTTTCAGCTTCATTTGGTTCACTGGAACCCCAAGTATAACACTTTTAAAGAAGCCCTGAAGCAGCGTGATGGGATCGCTGTGATTGGCATTTTTCTGAAGGTAAAGTAAAAATTGACCATATATTTTCTTTCAAAATGTATTTCCCTACCAATGCTTAGCATAGTTTGAGTTTCATTCCCTCATTTTTACTTTCTTCCCTCTATATACATTTTATTATTAATTCAACTAATCAAGATATTTCTGCTAAGATCAGCTCAAAATGTCTTGCTTTTCTCTAAAAGTGTATATTTTACCACACTCCAGGACCCCTAGCACTTCTAAATTTTCCCCAGATGTGGGATGTGTGTGTGTGTGTGTGTGTGTGTGTGTGTGTGTGTAGGTGGCGGGGACAGAGCCTTAGAGTGCGCTTATTATCATGGTGGTAAGGGCAAAGGTGGCATATGTTCATTTTCCTTTCTCACTGCTCCACTTCAATTGCACTGGAAACCAGAAAAGTCAGTGTTGGGAACCATATGATGCCAAGTCCCTGGCTGGACATCCCCTCGGCTTGAGGTGGTCACCACTCACATGATCCCTGGCTAAGATAGCACATGGAATGTGTGTGTTGTTGAGCCAGCCTTGCTTTAAAGAGGACTTAGTGTCATTAACACATGAGGTTAGAGGTAACATAATCTAGATTTCAAGCCAGAGGTGAAAATCTGGCTTCTTTCTCTTTGAATGACCTAATTTGTTTTAGGTTCTCAATTCATTGGGTCATTTCTGGTGCTTGAACACAGCACAGCAGGAGGTGGAGTAGGTCTAAGAAGAAAGACAATGAGTTTAGTTTGGGAAACATACGGTCCATTTTGGTTCTAAATCTGTTTTTTAGAAAAGTGGAATGACTTTGCGGAGAAGGTCAAAGACACAGAACTAGATCAACATGTAATTTTGTGGTCCTGTACTTCAGAGGCCTGGAGTCCAAATTTAGATCAGAAAATATATACTCTAAAATCTTGAGGAAAAATAAACTTAAGTTTTTGCTTAGTACGAGATATTCTGGCAGATTTATAAACACTAGTTGCAGATGGATGAATCAAAATCAGCTTTGAAGACAATCCTAAATTATGGAGAAGTAAAAGAATTATACTTGGATTTCCGTTTTCTTACAGATAGGACGTGAGAAAGGCGAGTTCCAGATTGTCCTTGATGCATTGGAAAAGATTAAGACAAAGGTAAACAAAAATTATTTTCCCTCCTAACACATAAAGCAGATTATGCAAATTTTCCTTACACATTTTCAAGTGTTTTTTTTCACCTAAAATCTGTTACTAAGTTTGATGGATATGCTAAGCATAAATATAAAAATAAATGCTATTATATTTGTATGGCATGCAGTTTTTAGAGCAATTTCACATATATCAGTTTTTTAATGGTGATAGTCATCCTGTCAGATAATCTCTTTCTCAATGGAATAAGTGAGAATCAGAGAAGTTGAGTGGTCACCGCATCCTCGCCCCCCCACCCCCCCACACACACACTGCATATATGCATGCATACCATCATGGAGATACTAAATGTCAGCCAGCACTGGTCTGTTGAGTCTTGGTGATGACCTTTCTGGGAAGCACTTATAAATTTAAAATCTTAACAACAGACTCATATAAGTAACAGAAAAATTTTGATTTTTTTTGCGACCATTCTAATAAAATAGTATTGAATTTTATTAACAGAGAGAGTAAGTATTCCAAGTAGAACATTCAATAAAAATGCAAGCCTGATATTTTTTGGTATCATCAACAACAAAACATTAACTTACATGAAATAATTCAATTACGCTTGGGATATCAGTTTCTCCTTTTTCTTGAGGAGTGATAGAATTACAAATTCTACTCACAGTTAAAACAATAAGGAACACAGTGTGACAATGATTGTGTCAGATCAAGTAATAATGTGCAAAACCAGCTTCCCCGCTTTGATCTTTATTTTTGACAGGCCTCTACTTTGTTCAAAAGTTCTATTTTCTCTATTGCATTTGAAATCCATTCTCACAAATGAAGTGATAAGGGCATTGGGGTGGGTGAGCATGTGCATGCACACACTCACTGCACCTGCAACCTGCTCTTACCCAGGGCAAGGAGGCACCCTTCACAAAGTTTGACCCATCCTGCCTGTTCCCGGCATGCCGGGACTACTGGACCTACCAGGGGTCATTCACCACGCCACCCTGTGAGGAGTGCATTGTGTGGCTGCTGCTGAAGGAGCCCATGACCGTGAGCTCTGACCAGGTGAGCAGCCTTGTGAACACATGGGCTTATGTTGCTGTCTGCCTATGTAAGATACAGATACCAAATCAAAAATACATAGCTACTAACTGGATACTCACTGAACATCTCTATAGCTAGAGATTTCATGGTCTGCCCTGGTTAGTTACAACCAGCTTGTTCAGCTTTCTAAAACTTGGCCCCCAAAGGGTACCAGGATAAATAGAAATCATTTAAAAGTCGTTTTGATACTGACCATGACTGAGTTTATGCTCTATAAACACTTTAAAGGGTTTAGGTTAATATGAATCTTTGTTAATTTGGATGTTGCCAAATACTGAGCACTGGTAAGGAGATGGGATGATAAATACAGACCTGGAGAAGAGAAGGGTGCTAATGGAAAGGATTTAACAATTTTGTATGCTATATATTATTTCTGCAGTTTTACAGATACGTAATTCAAGGTTCAAAGGTTCAGTAATTTGTCCATGATCACACAGCCAAGTGCAGGATTGTAATTCCACCTCCAAACTGTTCCCAGTATTTTTGGCATCTGTTCTCAAGGTTCCCTTCTTAGTGTTCAATCTAAAGAGTGTCCTAGTAACATTCATTAAAGACACTTTCAGGGAAAAGCTACATAGGAGAAAATAAGTGGGCAAGAACATGGAGAAAAACAGATTGAAGCAAGTAAACAACACAGGGACTTACAACCTAGAGCATGCATGTTCTGTAATAGTAAAATCAGTTTCCCAGTGTGTGTCTCTTGCATAAGGCAACAGTTTTCATATTTATGTCAGTTTATAAAGACATTTTTATTAAAAGATCAAATTTAACAACATCGTTCAGTGATGTAACTATTTGGAAAGAATGAAATTTTTTTCAAGAAGAAATGTAAAAATATTTTAATATAGAATCATAGTGTTACTAATGAGAATTTATTGTCTTATCCTTTAAGAAAGAAAAGACAATTTAAAAATTGGAAATGTAGCGTGAGTTGGATTTCTTTTTGCTCTTAAAATAATTGACTCCATAAACTTATACAAAAAAGGTCTATTACATTTTATTTACACTGATATATGGATGTGGTCATCCTCTCCAACAAAGTATATAGTTCATACTGACCCCTCAGATAAAAAATAAATGTTTCAGAATTCAAGAGGAAAAGACTGTGACCAGAGGGCATAGTGATCTTGTACAGAATGAAGAAAAGGGCTTTTACAAATAAACAAAAAATGCGTGTCACTCTGCAGCGACTAGCTAAATAGCTCTGGACTGGACACTAGGGATAGGTTGTGTGGTTTGCTTGTCATTTTTAAAACACCAGTATTGGCTGGGCATGGTGGCTTACGCCTGTAATCCCAGCACTTTGGGAGTCCGAGGCAGGTGAATCACCTGAGGTCAGGAGTTCGAGACCAGCCTGGCCAACATGGTGAAACCCCATCTCTACTAAAAATACAAAAAATTAGCCAGGTATGGTGGCAGATACCTGTAATCCCAGCTACTCAGAAGGCTGAGGCAGGAGAATCGCTTGAGTCTGGGAGGTGGAGGTTGCAGTGAGTCAAGATCCACCACTGCACTCCAGCCTGGCTACAGAGCGAGACTCCATATAAACAAACAAACAAACAAACAAACAAAAGAAACCCCACCAGTATTTACACCTCTTTGTTGCGTAGTGTGTCCAGTTCATCCGAATGTCTTGTTAACAGTCTGCCCCTGCCCTTTGCAGATGGCCAAGCTGCGGAGCCTCCTCTCCAGCGCTGAGAACGAGCCCCCAGTGCCCCTTGTGGGCAACTGGCGCCCTCCACAGCCTATCAAGAACAGGGTAGTGAGAGCTTCCTTCAAATGAGGCTGCTGGATCTTGCCCTCTTCAGGAAAGGAAACCTGCCATTGGAGAGCTTGGTTCCTTGCCTCCTTCTGGTGCTCCTTACTCCAAGTCTATTTCATTTCTCCACACTGAGCAATGAATGTGAGAGATGTGGTCACCAAGAAACCAAAGTTACTTTTGACAAGACCTAATATGAAAGAATAGATTTCATATTTGATCTCTGTAATAATCATCTTTCCTATAAAAGTAGCATTTTTAGTAAAGTTTCAAAGAAGAAGAAACAGAGATGGAAGAGTAAAGATATTTTTAAAATGGCTAGCTATTGGGCACCAGTTTTTCTGTTACCTAAAATTTCACAGAACTTCATTGTTTTTATTTTTATATTATGAGTTGTCCATCTTAAAGAAATATGAGTAATTCTACATGTAGTAGAGGTGTATGAAGATCATGTAACAATTAAACATAAGCCAGAAATTAAAATGACTATGGACAGCAAGAACTGAGCTAATAATATGTTTTAACTCAACACCAGCAAGAAGTCAGTCATTTATTGAACTTTTAGCTACTAAGATTACTTGGTTTTTATTATTAGTGAAAAGAAAACACAATACAATCAGGAGTTTTCAAATTTTTGATTCAGTATTTGAACTTCTTCTTCATAATTGTAGTTGAATTTATCCTAGTATTTTTCTTTACCTGAAGGAGGGCCATTTATTTTTAATTTCACTACATTTTCCTTTGCATGATTATTAAAATAAAAACTGCCTCTGTTGTCTTTCTCACTGGAGGCTGGAATGAATGATCATTAAACACAAAACAGTGAATGATGGCACTTGAAGTTAAAGCAGTTGTACTGATCACCAGAACCAATAAAGACATGAACGGAAAACGTTGAGTGTTGTGTTATTTTTAAAATGGAAGGGCAGCATAAATGACAAAAATGGAGTTTAAGAGCAACAAACTTTGTAAGTTTGTTTTTATAGCTGAAGGATGGCACTAAGGACTGAAGTTCTCAGTTTGGATGCTACATTCCTCAAGGAGCGTCAGGAAAAAAAAAAAAAAAAAATTAGTACGGGCCTTCTGAGGAAACTGCAGACCAGAAGATGAATGTGTGGCCATATATCTGATAGTGGGAAATACTTTCCAGAGGCCTCAAAATTGGTTTAGAATTCTGGGGTTCAGACTAGTACAATGGGTTTCAGGGGCATGAAATCAAGTCAGACTATAGCTTTTACATCCATATTTTTAAAAATTGTGTCTTTAGGATGATGCTGGCCTAACACTGCAAAAATCCATATATTTAGATCTTTAAACCATTTAATATAAAATCTTTAGACATAAAGTCTAATTTTGCAGTTAGTGGTTTTGATGCGTCTTTCATCACCTCACTGGCCAATATGTTAACTTACTTTAAAAAGTGACAGGAATAAGTTCATTACCCTAAGGAATGAAATAATATTGGGTCAGGAGAGTCCTGAGATGCCAGAAGTCAAATCACGTGACAGAGTCCTATGAGGCTAAAGATATTTAATAGATTACCACCCAGGTGAAGTCAAACCAGGTTGGTCAGTATGAACTGGAAGTGTTAATTAAATCCCTTGAAATTAGGAGGTGTGGAGCTTTGATCATTAGTGATAATACACAAGCTGATTCTCTCAAGGTACTTACTTAATAATGCTTATGCACTGTAAAAGATGTATCCAGTATTGACTCTATGTGGGGGAGGAACATATGACTTAATGCCAGCTACAAATGGTCCTTATTCCAGTACACAGGCTGAACAGGTTAGAACTGTTTTGAGGGAAAACGCCCCATCAAAAGAGGCTATCTTCATAGACCATATGCTCTATGAGGGCACAAATATGAGTCTTGCATGCTGACATTCACCTTGCTGTCTAATACTGTGTCTGGCACATAATGATTACTCAATATTTGTTGAATAAGCGATGTCATGAATATAGATGAATCCAGGTAAAATACTTACCTTCTTGAACAACACATTACATGGTTAATAGGAATATTGTTTTTTGTTTATCTTAGTTTAGATCCCCTTGGAAAATGATCTCATTAGCTTCAGGTGGGAGCTTTCTAGTAGAACATAGTTCTCCCCTCCCTCCAGTCTGAGTCATTGTCAATGCTCACAATTATCGCCCATCTTAAAATTTCCTCCCAGCTTCTCAAAGTGCTGAACTCAAAGTGCTGTGATATTATAGATGTCCATTAGAATATTAAAGACATACTATGTCCTTATTCAGCAGGGGGATGATTTTCCTGATCATAAACAGGCCCCTAAACAATTGCATTTCAGATACACACAGCCTTACAAAGGGGCATGGCTGGGAACTGCTGTGGTAAGAAGATTTCAGCATCTGCCAACTTTTGTTCTTCAGGGTATAACCATTGCAAGTATTTTAACATTTCAAAATAGGGCAGAAACTAATTTGAATTCGTGTTTCATAACATTCAGATATCATATCATTAAAAGCCTATGAATTGGGCAGAATCAACAAGAATTTACCTAATATAGGGTATTGTTAGAAGTATGCAAATATATCTATATTTACATATATATATAACTTTTTTTTAGATGAAGTCTCACTCTATTGCCCAGGTTGGAGTGCAGTGGCATGATCTTGGCTCACTGGCACTTCTGCCTCCTGGGTTCAAGCGATTCTTGTTCTTCAGCCTCCCAAGTAGCTGGGATTACAGGCATGCACCAGGATGCCATGCTAAGTTTTGTATTTTTAGTAGAGATGGGGTTTCACCATGTTGTTCAAGCTGGCCTCAAACTCCTGACATCAGGTGATCTGCTCACCTGGGCCTCCCAAAGTGCTAGGATTTCAGGCGTGAGCCCCCGCACCCGGCCAAGACTAAGTGTGCAAATATACTGTTAATATAATCCCTGCCTTTTAAATGAGCAGATATATTTATGAAAAGGCAAATAATTTCAGGAGTATTGATTCAAAATTCTTTAAACTGTACAATCAGTGAATATTTACGTAGATGAGTGAGAAGCATTCTACACAGAACATGCAAAACTGAAGCACTCAATGTTTAACCATAATCATTTATATAATTAAATATAGTTGAAACTGATCAGCTATTAACAAGCTTGGATACATGTGGAAAAATTAATATGACAGTTATTAAAATGAGAATTGGCACAAATAAAATTGGCCTAAGAGAAATACATATGGTCTAAACCCACATAAAGAAAGTTAATTAGATTCTAGGTTCTTTTCTAATGCCTTCTTATCTGATATTAAATATGAGCTCCAGTTATGAGTAAAATATATTATTTTAGCAGAGGAAGAATAAGTGAGAAGAGGTAAGAAAAATGAATCACTGTGAATTTCAGATTTTTTAAATTTCAGATTTGAGGTATACAAATTTAATGATTCTTTTAAAACCTACCGCTAAAGTAGTTCTTAAAATCTTAAAATGCAGATGGGAAAATAAAATCATATTTGAATGTTATTTTCACTTAGGTCATTAGATGGCAGCAAAATATTACAAAAATTTCATGTGCATCACTAGATGGCAGCAAAATAATTACAAAAATGACTATGACATTAAAAGCCATGCTGTGCTTTATTCACACTAATTGCAGAGCAATAAGATTTAAAAATTGTTTTTGACAGCCTATTTCTGTTTTTCAAATGTTTACTATTAGTCATTAATACCTATGCAAAAGAAAAGAGAGTGAAGGATTCTTACATATTTTTAAGAGTCTTTATAGCCAAAAATAAGGCCTGAGGGATAAAAGAATAGTAGTTATTGCACTGAAACTTAAATAATGGGAAATTAACATTTTAAAGCCCTCTTCAGTATTCAGAAGGACTAGATTCAAGACACACAACACTTGCTGAATATGTGGCATCAGGCAAGTTAATTTCTCTATGCCTCAGTTTCCTCATCTGTAAACAGGAATGAGAGTAATAGCTGTCTCCAGAGAGATTTTAAGAATTCCTTGTAAACCACTTAGAATAGTCCTTCTGACATAACTCACAATAGGAGTTAACGA